GTCAAGCGCCTTGTTTAGTTCTGAAAACGAGATGAGTGAAAGTGAAGAGAGATTCAAGCACCCGGTTCAAGCGCTACCTTCCAACGTCGGTTTCTTCGCCCGATTGAATTCCACTGGGTAGAAAAATTCAGAAACATGTACATGCCAGTGTAGCTGACGAAGAATTAGCAGTTGACCGTCAAGAAGGAGAATAGAAAGAGCAGGAAGTAACTGCAGTAAAACGTGAGACAACCAAGTCCAGGATCACGCTTTTCTCTGGTTCAACGGACAAATATATAATGTTGATTGCGACGGGGAGCTTAATTTCGGAATGTGGACGTCTTTTCAAATGTAAAAGAAACGAGAATCAAAGTATTGAGTTCTTATCCGAGCGGACATGTTGAAGTTCGATGTCCAGTGGATAAAAAAAAAAAACATGTCAGTGGTCAAAAACATTGCTTTGATGCAGTGGAAAGTTGTTGCGAATGCGATTAAATAAATAAATAAATTCTACGGGCCCTCGGCTGTCTAAAGTCGACAGGTGGTTGTCACTTTTCTAATCTGCGGCACGTTTGCGGTTTCACGCTTTGTAGTGTCTCGGGGTTTCTAAGACGTAAGCGTGCATGTTGTCCACTTGGACGTAAGATTTTAATCACGTTCAAGAATATTTAGACCTTGTATAATTTCTCTATAATTCCTCTAACAGAAAATTTAGAAGAGTAACCTACATTTCTTAGAAAAAATAGCATTAATACTGCGTTGATCGTTTATGGTGGCCGATAACTGCCATTCGTCAAAAGCACATAAATTTGTTAATTTTAGATCGAACTTTAATTATTTTGTATTGGAAATAAAGTGAAAGTACAATGTAAAAACATTTTGTTTTTTATTGAACTGGAAATAGATTCTTCTTTATTATTATTTTCAAAACAAAACAAAATATTTTTACTATGAAATGAAAATAAAAATAAAAGTGAATAAAAGCAAAAGTAAAAATAATTTGTCCACGGCCGGGAACTGCCATTCAAAACAAAAAAAAGCAAAATTAATTTGTTCACGGCCGGGAACTGCCATTCAAATAAAAAAAAAACTAAAATAAATATGTTCATGGCCGGGAACTGCCATTCAAAAAGAAAGAAATGGGAGTTTTGGCGGGAGTGCGTCGCTCGCGTTTGTTTACAATCTCGTACCCAGACTCCGCGGATTCTTTGATAATTTGGCGCCCTTTCGCAAAAATCATTAGACTCAATATGGGGGATCGAGCTTGGGCAAAGTTTCAAGCCCAAATGAAGCAGAAACGAGTGCAGAAAAAGACAAAAGCCGATACAGGATTGGGTGCTGGAGTAATACTTCAACGTGGGGAACTTACAGTACAGCGACTCAGTTCCGAAGTCTCTGGTAAGGCGCAAAAGTTTAGCAGGATTGGAGCCAGGGAATTTGTGCCATTTGCTGACTACGAGGACATAACATTACCAAACATCAAACTTGCTTGTGAGAAGCACTTCTTACCAACAGTTGGCAAACGCGTCACGTGTGACGTTCTAGCGGGAGAGCAAGGGCCATCCTGTTCAACGCTTGAACAAATTCCTGACTTAAAACTCATCCACATTCGGTTCATTCAGCAACACGACCAAGACCACGAAAGCAACATATTTATCAATCCTGATGGACCGCCCAAGAGAAAAAGGAGACCAGCTTCGAGTGTTCCCATTGCTTCCACCTCTGTCGAAAGCGACAGCACATGGTCACCCAAGCAGATCAAGGTTTTTCCGAAGAGCCTTTCAGTATCGGAGATGCTAAAGCTTGGAAAGGTTGTTGCGAAAAAAGCCACCACTTTGATCGAGGTGAGGTCCTTTGAATTGGACCCACTCGGATGGTCCTTAACTGCAGCTACTATAGAGTTTAATATAGAGAAGGATGCTTTTGCAAAGGGCGGATTCAGAGAAGCATATAGGTAGGTGCGACTGATTTAAAAAAAAACATTGTGGCGATGATGGTATTTGTTTGTTTATGTACCGAGCCATCACCCGCCTCGGGCAAGCTCTATGTCTACGATGAATTTAGGGTATTTGAGCTTTTAATTAGATTCTTACTTTCTTAAGGGGTAAATGTGGTTTTTGCGCTGATCACAATGGGTGTGACCCCTTACATAGTTATGGAAACAATACCCCACCCCCTACATATTGCACAGTCAAGTGGTAATCACTTTTTTTAATATGATGATAAAAAATATTGTCAAAAGTTGTAAGAGATTTTGTACATTCAAATTTCATGAAAATACAGTTCCTTTTTATTCTGTATCTTCCAGCTTTTCCAAATAATGCTTGGGTGGTAAATTTTCATCGTGTCTACCTGCCTCTTCCACCCAGGGCTCTTTTCATTGGAAAGCTGCCAAAAATATTTGTGGGGCTTTGAAAATGTGAAATTCAAAGGTGAATTAGACCAGATAAAAGAGTTTGGGTCAAATTTTCTTACAGGGCAACAAGTCATAATGAAGCATTTGCTGGCAAAACATGGGTTGTGAAAAGATACTTACCAGAAGCACTAAAAGCAATACAAGACACAGGTCAGACAGCTGAAGTACATACAAAGAAGGTTGTTCAAATGCATATGCTTGCAAAGAATTTTGCCGATCAGTTGGCTCAGAAAATAAAGAAAGATGATCTTTTAGAGTTTGGCCAAGCACTGCAGTATGGAAAGGTTTACTTTGGGAGAGATGTGGATAAGGGCGACTATGTCACTGTTGAGGAGTACATTGAGGGGAACTTTGTAAAATACATAAACAACACTGGCAAGGTGTGTGAAAAAAGTACATTGTCAGAAAAAGCTCAGTGCCTTGCTCACTTTAGTTATGAGAAATCAAACCATAAGTTAATGGTCCTTGATATCCAGGGCACAGGCCACAAGCTGTATGATCCTGAAATAGCCTCCTCAGAATTGGTTGAAAATGATGAATTCCTGTTTTCGACAGGTAACCTTTCTCAAACAGCTATAGATTGTTTTGTTAGCTGTCATCATTGCAATATTTACTGTAAAAGCTTACATTTGCAAGAACTAATTAAGCAGTAGGCAATGTCATAGATTCATTTTGCTGGTTTGACAGTTAATGTTTGAAGTTTCGATAAAACTGACTGTGGTTTAAACTTAAAGTTAAGGTTTCTGTCTGGCACAGACTACAGGGTATAATCATGAAATAGTGTACATGTATTTGGAATTGGTTGAAAATGATAAATTCCTGTTTTCCATAGGTAGCTTTTCTCAGACAGCTATTGTGATTGTTGTTTGTTAGCTGTTACAAGTGTAACATTTACTGTACTTTAAGGTTTGCAAGAATTTAAAGTAATAGACAGTGATTCAGTTTACTGGTTTTAAAGTTACTGTTTGAAATTTTGATAAAACAGACTAATGAATGGTATCAGCATTTTCTAGTATTTGTACTTAGTTTTACCTCACAGTTTCTTGCAGAAAAAGTTAACGGTAAATAGTCTTAACAATTTAAAGACTACATTGTTGTACCAAATGTTTGTTACAGCTAATAATGGCAAGGGAGGTATGAATGAGGTCATTTATAAGTTTCAATTTTAACCAGAAAAGTTTTAGCAGCATAGCCGATAATCCACCCCCGGCCTCCTGTCTTCAAAAAAGGTCTTCTTCATTAACTTTTACTTCTAACAATTCCTAATTTTCCCTCTAACAAAAAGTCACATTACAGTTTGTAACCCCCCCAAACAAAAAAAAAGAATTCCTTGCCATGCAGGAGTAGGGGCAATAAAGGTCTTTGTGGCTTTCCTTTAATGTTGTATTTGGGTACTCCCCCTCCCCTTGGTAATAACATAAGTAGTATTTTAGTTTAATACATGGTGTATGGTGTCATGAAAAAAAATATTAATAAGACAGGGTGTTTAGCTGCTGGTTACTTCTAATTGCATGCAATAAAGAATGTTTGTTGGACTGTCTCTGTCTCGTCAAGTAATTTGACCTACTGCAAACTTAGCCCATTCTCACTTCAAACCCTGTACTGTCCACATGGAACCATTCCCCTTGAACCACTTACAGATGTCCTCAATTTTAAAACCAACTTGAATTCTGCCTTCTGTGCATACCAGAACTTAAAGCACAACCATTTGGCATCAGACACCAAACCCACTAGCATAGTGCTTAACTTGTAAATGACAATCTAGACAAATTTGCCTATTTTGGCCAGATAGTAAACTGAAAACAGTTTAAAAATAGCTTTCTAAGTTTGGGTATGTACAGAAGGCAAAATATTGTTATGCTTCTCCTATTTGTTGCTTCTCTTGCCTTTCTGTCTATTTTTGAGGGGCTGTGCTTTTACTAGGCTTCACTCCTCTTGGAAACGGTTTTACAGAAAGTAACCTGACAATATTTATCAAGAAGTATGGGTGGTTAGTGGGACAAGATAATCCATTCCAATTTTTGTTTCATACCATGTATGTAACTATTTATGGGCTATTCGACCATATTGCACACAATGAGGCATTATGTCTTCCTCTCAAACACAATTTTGTAAGCATACATTGGTGCAAGGAACATGGTTTACTTTTTTGAAGAAAATTTATTGCATACAACACATATGCAGTGCCTTATTTTGTAACTTTTCCTGTATACTCAGAATAGCACAGTTAATACAACGGACAGAGATCAGACCATGCAACAAGTACTTACAATAATATGTTAAAAACAATGGAAAAGTAAAAAAAAACAAAACAAAAGGTGACCATGGTCACTAACATGACTCAATGGTTTAGGACATTTTTCAACTACAGAGCTTTATCAGGGAAAATTTGATAGCTGTTAGTAATTTTGGATATGTGGTTAACAAATTTGTGTGCTTTTGATGAATGGCAGTTATCGGCCACCATACCAGTGTAGTAAGCAATAGGTTTGGTTTCTCAGTTGATTTATATATTAAACTAAAATAATAAATATTATCTTTCTGAGCTAATACTCATGAACAATTCAAAATGTGGTCACTGAAGGGAAACGTGAACCTTCACTCTTCACAGTTCCATGAATTTTTCCTTAAGATGTAGAAATGCATCTTTGCATTCATTTGGTTGAACTTGGTTAGGATATGGAATAATTTCCTCACACTTTGATCTAAATGTAGCATCTAAAAAGTCATCTTCAACTGACAGAACACCAGAATGAAGTGCAGCCTCTTTCAATTCATCTTCTGTTACAGGCCAACCTGTAAAAAATGGCATTTTTAACAACACTCGGTTACAACCAGGAAACAGCAAACAACAAAATGTAAACAGAAAACAACCAAAGGCTAAATGACAGAAAAGATGGCACATTAAATCTTTTCTTAACTAAAATATTGGCCAATAAAGATTCAATCTTCAATTTTCTTTGCCTACCGCATCCAATGGTCGGTAACAGTAGTAGTTTTAAGGGCATATGGTCCTTACATTTATCAACTGGTTTGTGTTTGTACTTTCTACTGTAAACGGCCACTTATAAGCCATCCCCCCACATCCCCCTTCCTCACTTATAAGCCCTCTAGGCTACCAGTAAACAAAAAATACATCTGATTGTAAGCCCCTTCCCTTCCCCTGGATATAAGCCCGTCCAAATCCCCGAAGCTGTGAAAGACCAGGGCTTTTTAGCTGTTGTTTACAGTGTTACAAGGATGTCTATTTTTAAAGTGAAAATATGCACAGTCATACCACACTCTTCTAGGCCGTATGTTTCAGGAAAGTTATAAATGTGATCAGGGATTCCATCTGGCAAAGCTGTATCTTTCTGTGTTCTTATTTTGTGACTGTTCCATACAACTGTCCTAAACAGATCTAGTTCTTTCTGCAGTACTGGTATGAGAAGAAAAGCCAAGAGCATCCTGACAGGAGAAATTAACACAGATTTATTTCATCAAAGGTTTTACACTGTATAGATACGTTTATTTTGACAAATATTTATTGTCAATAATTATCCTTGAGACATTTTGAATTTGCCTAAAAAGTTTGTGACTTTAATTTTAGACCATGAGTAGATTTCCCTTGGGGAGGGGGACTCCCATGAGTGCTAGACTCAAGCTTTACTTGATCCCTTAAATACATTAAAAATAAAGCACAGTACCAAATAAGAGCTATATATAAATAGTAATCACTTTTATTAATGTGTGATAAAGGCATTGTCATAAAATCAGCTTTTTCTTTCCTTTTTTAGTCCTCTGGTTTCTTTATTACACACCATAAAGTAACATCCGACCAGGTGAAATGGGCATTCCATCATGAATACTCTAGACAGCTTTAAGTGTCACCAAAATATGAAATCTGCAACCCAAACAAAATAACAATGCATCCCTGCCCCTTCATAATGGGATTTTCCCCCACACCTCCACATAGCCTGCGAGCAAGCTCTCTGGGAAAAGGAAGGAGAGCTTGCAACTACATCGCTGGAATTTGAATATCTGCATTGAAAAAGTTGATGTGAAATGCTGATTGGTGGAAATGACATTATGAAAGACGCCATTACCCTTGGCACGTGTTTCTTAGTATTTGTTTACATTTGCACTCATTTCCACATAGTGCTGATTGGCGGAAATCTGACAGCTCAGTCGACAGGGAGCCACAGGCGAATTGGAGGTGGAATTCAAATTCCAGAGACGTAGTTGCAAGCTCTTCTTCCTTTTCCAGCCCCGCTGCTAGAGGGCCGGTTGAACTTGCTCTCAGGCTACCTTCCCAGGATCAAGTCAACCTTTTCCTTGCTTTTAAAAAATAGACAAATAAAACAAGCAGAAATTGTGTTCACTCTAACCCCATGTCTTTATCAGGTCTATTCTATAATTATTATATGTACCTGTCTCTCTCACTATGTGGATTATAATGACCTCGGTCCTTTAACCAGTTGAGTTGCTCCTTGAAATATTTTTCCATTCTCTCGTGGAGTTCCCTCCACCATCTCTCGATCTTTAAAAAAATTATCAAAAATGGTCGATTATGCACTATATTGCAAAGAAAAACATAGAAAAAGCAACCTAATATGACAACTCCAGTTGCATTCACACTACTTTTTAACCGATACCTAAAAAAAGTACACAATAAACAAATAAGTGCTTACTTGATTTGATGTCGATGGCCCGTAAATGATCGATTCACATGGGTCATCCATATCATCATGGTTTCTTCGCAAGAAGGCGTGTATCGTTGCCATCGTGCCTGTCTCTGTTCCTCTGTCCAGCCTTATCATTGAAGGCATAATTCTAGCCTCATATAAATACTCCAAATACCAACGGCCAATTACCTTGGGGTCGCTGTTAGTGACCCAGATCCGCAGCCATAACAGCTTTCTACTAGCAGTATCGATGCAGCCATATACTGCTAATGGGAAAGTGCTGTTTTGGTAGCCCATTAGTTTATCATGGCCATCTAGTGAATGGACCCAGTTAGGGCCTTTTGTTGTAAAACTTCCCTTGGGGATTGTTTTCTTTTTACCAACTGGTCCACGGGCTTCCAGACCCTTCGGGTCGAGGTCATACATTGCCGCATGAACTAAATCTCGTGGAACATTGAGATCATGAACTTGTCGAACTTTTCGGTGCATTGCTCTGTATCCTAACAGTTTTCCTGGTCCGTCAAGCTCCTTTTTTACAACATCTTTAACTTCCTCCACCGACACATTTTTGTCATTGTACTGTATGTCAAAGTGACGAAGGCGTCTGTCGACAGTGCGAAGGCTCCATGCATATTGGGCAAAATCCCTTTTCAAAAAATCTAACATTTCTCTCCGTTGAAAACCCTGTTTTACATATTTAGCCATTTCTTCTTTGAGAACGATGTCTTCTTTCCAACCATCATTTCGAAAATATGCCGCCATAATGCCCGTCACTGCGTTCCAGTCCCTCCCCAAATTTGAATGGCAGTTCCCGGCCGTGAACAAATTAATTTTACTTTTTCTGTTTTGAATGGCAGTTCCCGGCCGTGAACAAATTAATTTTGCTTTTTTTTGTTTTGAATGGCAGTTCCCGGCCGTGAACAAATTATTTTTACTTTTGCTTTTATTCACTTTTATTTTTATTTTCATTTCATAGTAAAAATATTTTGTTTTGTTTTGAAAATAATAATAAAGAAGAATCTATTTCCAGTTCAATAAAAAACAAAATGTTTTTACATTGTACTTTCACTTTATTTCCAATACAAAATAATTAAAGTTCGATCTAAAATTAACAAATTTATGTGCTTTTGACGAATGGCAGTTATCGGCCACCATAGACCTCTATCGTGAAAAAATGCTAATTCCGACTCTCATTAAATCGGCGGGAAAAAAGGCCAAATTTTACTAGTGGGAGGAGAGTGCACAGCAAGTTACTCTCTCAGATGGTGCGGAAGTAAAATTGCTTTCAGGTGGCTGGTTTTACTTCAATGGGCTTCCGCGAAAGTATTTCAATTTCTGGTAATCTATTGTAATATTACTTGTGGAGCCAGGGTTAGTAGAAAACACTGGTTACGGATGCCGCTAGATATCAAACAAGACGAAAACATCCGTCTTACAGTTTGTGTTGGGAACTGCCTACCTTCCTGCTACCGGGCCAAAACGAACCAAAACAGACCAAAAATTCTGCAGAAGGTAAATGTCAAAGTTGTATATGACCGTCAGAGCTGATGACGTCACAAGCGATACATGGGACTTGGATCTGCTCGGGCCGTTCAGGAGTGAATAGGGTTCATTACGATTGCTGAAAAAAATTTCCATAGTAGAACTGAAGTCTCATCGATCATCTACGATTATTGAATACTTCTTTCCATATACTAGCCGCAACCGCTGAACTTTTTTCGGCAATCGTAAAGATCTTAGGAAAACCAGTCTCACCTACAGCCTTTACATTGATGCAGGTTTCTTCACAGCAACGCTATAAAACGCGTCGACGGAAACGCATTCACTGGTCTTAGGAATCTCAAATTAGTGTAAGTATAAATAATCTTTAATCAGTGTTTTACAAAACGAAAAAGAAAAAATTTGCACTTTGATGCAATTCTATCACAGTTCCCCGCAAATCCATCACCAGCGAATACTTCATTATACGAATAACAGAGAGGGTGACCGTTAATTAATTTTCTTTTCTTCACTGGCATTCGTATTTCTTTTTGTATATTCTAACAAAGAATCTTCTTTACAAAGTTCTTTTTATCCTCTTTTTTAATTACGTCAGTTGCCAAATTATGTCAGTTGCATGAACGTTTATCATTGTTGGCCCATTTGGTTTTTAAACATTACCTTAATGTCAAATTTTTAACTGTAACTCGCCCATACTAGTGAGGTGACTTTGCGTTTTCTTTTTTTCGCTAAATGCCCTGAAGAATGACGGTTTCTCCGTCCGAAATATCGGGAAACCTCAAGTCGCTTTTGTGTTCGCTGTGTTGTTATTGTTGTTGAATTTTTTTTGGATAAAATAGCAGGATTTGGATGTTTCATTTTATATAAAAGGTTTAAATAATGCCTATGCAGACTAGGTTTTCTTCACGGAATCGTGTAATATCCGAGTACATTGTCGTTATCTATCTCGTCTCCCGGCCGAAAAAAAAAAAAAACAACGACAACAAAAACAAGAATTCCCGCGTCCCTCCATGAGAATGACGAACTTTCCGCTTTCCGCCCGCCTTTAACCATCCTGCGTCCCGCCTACATATTTTCTTTCATCCCGCATACCCGCAGCGAAAAAAGGCTTATCTCGCCTCCTGCGGCCAAACCTATGTTAGGCCGTCATCATGCACATCATAACCCAATTCTCATGGAAAGTAACAATTTCCTTGTTTCGTTTCTTTACTTATTCGTTTACTTACTTTTATATTCATTTATTTAATAACCGTTCACAGGACACTTTTTGGTAACCCCTTCGAGATATTACCAGTAAAGGTGTTCCAGGAAATGTTTGCCAATACATCAGTGTAAGTATGCTTTTTTTCTGCAAGCATTATTTTACAACCCTTCTTTTGTGGGGGTTTTGGGAACAATGGGAGTAGAGCAATTTGACAGTCTGTATAAACTGGATCATAGTGACCGCGTGTGGATCATAGCGAGCTGCAAATTCGCAGTGCCAATTATTGTGTATATTCAGTGGTGTCCGCCATGACGTCATAGAGTAGTTTGACGTCACGGCCTTTTTTTTTGTTTCTTAAAAACATTCAGGACTAAAAGCGATTTATCCTCATTACAATGACCAAAGTGCTTGTTTTTTAGCTGTCGTTTAAGGGGTCGGTAAGTGCTTTTTGCGGTAAATTTCGAATGCAAAAAGACTTTTAAGAGCAAATGGAAGCGATTTTGGATAATTAGCTTCAAGGTATGATGAGCGAAAATCGAGGTAACAAAACACGTTTTGCTCGCAGGCGAGTTTATACCGTATCGGCTTAGTTGGGGATCTGTTCTTGAAATGCGATGAGATGCGTTTACGTTAGGTTTCCACCGTCAAAACAGCGGTCATTCTTATGAAAAGTATTTCCGAATTCGTGTTAATAGGGCTCGATCAACTTTATACAGGGCGCGCTGGCCGAAGGTAGAGGGAAAAGCCTTATAATTGAATATTCTCTAGTGGTAGGTTAATGTGTATCGCGTGGTGTAGTGGTAACGAAATGGCCTGGCGTGCGGAAGGTCCCGGGCTCTATTCAGAGTAAAACCTGTTTCTTTTCCCTCTTCTTTTCTGTTTTGTTTTTGTTTTTTTTCCCTTTTCTTTCACGTTTAGTCTGCTTTTAGTTATTGTAGTTTTGGTTTATATCTTTATATTGCTAAGTTTTTTAAATTTATAAATTTTCTTCCTTATTGCTTTATTTCCCTTTCCACTTCTTGCCGTTCTCCCGAAGTCCTTCGATTCACGTATTTCTAGTTATATCATGGGCAACAAATTACTCTTTCATTTGGGTGAAATTTGAACATTCAACATCTAAATTTACAAACCTACAACAGCGTCTTTAGCCTGCGAATACAAACGCCTCCCAACCCGAACATGTAGTTTATTTATTTATTTTATTTTATTTTTTGTACCTTTAATTTACGAATGAATCTACTAAAAAAGTCATTGTTCGTGGAATATATATTATTCCCTACGTCCCTTCCTCTTCCCGACTTACCTAGGAAGACCGAAGGGCCTCTGCTCGCAGGGTAATTCTTCCCTAGATAAAGGAGATGATTTTTGCTGCCGTTCGTTCGCAAAACTTTAAACTAAAAACTTAAACTAAACTGAAGATTTTACGATAGAGCGATTTTCGTATGACCTTGAAATGAAAACGTACGAACAAAACAGAAACAACCGACGAGCGGAAATAGAGCGATTTGATTGGTTTGTCGAACGAATACAAGCGCAGCGTGGCTTTTGGTTGATTAAGCGAACGCTCAGGTGAAAAAACTTTGTGTCCGAAGAACTTTCTAGAAATCAATCGAAACTTCGCTTTAACGTCACACTGCAACGCCATTGGCCAATCGAGCAATACCTTCTCCATATTAGGGTCTTCTTTGGCGGGAAAACGAAGAGTCCATGTTTTGATCTTTTCATCCATTGGCTGATAAAACAAATAACGAACACTTACGGAAAACATTTTTCAAGGTCATACGAAGATCGCTCTAATAGACCAGGAGAAACGAACTCGTACAAAATTAAATTTGGAACCCAATGATTACCAGATTTTTTTACATCTGGAACCACACGACTACCAGATTTGTAATGTAAACATTTATTTGCATCATCAGAATGCAATTTTGGGGGTAAATCACAGACGTCTCCGCTCGTGAAACGTTCCCAGCGGCTTGGAGGGATAGAGGCGGCTGTATTAGCAGGCTATGGCAACTTTTAGTATATCTCAGTGCTAATAATTAAGATGGCATCTTGGTTAAATGATGTTACTTATGCGGATGTCAGGGCATAAAACGTCGCTGTGGAAAAACTAAAGATACAATTGAGCACAATTTTTTACCGCAAGAAGGATTCCAACTGGTTTTTTGTCGAGAGATTAAAAAAATTGAAAACTTTTTATCTATGCTTCCAACTTTCCAGTGCGTGGTTGGTCTCGGTACAATGATAAAACAAGTCAAAACTCCCCATTGTGGACGACATTTGTCAACCTCGATATCAACAGCTCTTTATCACAGTAAATGTGCAAGACGGTCAAAACGGTCGATGCAAGAACCACAGATTTGAGCTAAGTTTTACGAGTGTATTAACAAAATAAAACACGAATTTGAACGGGAAACTTAAGCGGGATCGAGTAACACAAGTGTTGTAGATAACTATACATCTATGAAGAAATTGCAAAATAACTTGACTTGCGTTGAGGGCTGACTCTCCTGGGGAGAACTGCATCAACTGGACTTACTTAGCAAAGGCTACCAATTTATAAGAGATCTCCATCACCTAACGCAGCAGACAAACGCATGCAACCAGAGCTAGTGCCACCACGCTCTACACACCTGATGCGATGAGTCCAAGCAAGAGTGTACCAGCTTTACCCAGCTTAGATGTCCCAGCTCAAAAACCCAGCGAACTTGCAGAGCCACCATCTCAGACTGTTACCAGGGAGGGAGAGGCTCCCTTCCAACCAAGGAGCTACAGGGCAGGACGTGTGAAGCAATTCCCAATCAAATTCAAAAATTAAACTGAACCAACTGCTCCTGATGGGATAATTAAACTGGCATTGCGAGACAATTACCTGCATTTGTTGTTTGTTATTTTTGCTTCCTCTTCACCTTCGTTGCATTGTATGTTAGGCCGACTCTGATTCTTTGTTTTTCTCTTTTATAATACAAAAGCGGGGATGTCACACAGTGTAGTATGCAGTGAAGGCCCTCGATGTTTTGTTAGAACTCAATGTTGCGTTACAGTTCAGGCTATT